GGGAAGCCAGCCTAATACATGTGTGCAAGTTTAATGTTGGAAGGGAGGGTCAGCTTTACCCTTACATAATCACTGTTTTATGGCTTTCACTCATTCCTGAGGTGTTAATGCAGATCAAATGGGAAACACTCCAGAAAGAAGCCTTGCAGCTACTGCCCTGCCTCACTCTCCCGTCTCAATCGTTAATTCTTATTGTAAGATCTAAAGGTAATTTTGTTTGCTCTCTTAATGCGTTGCAGTTCTCCCAGTGGTCCTTGCATATCCTTTCTCAAATTCCCATCTTGATCAATTGTTTGCAAATAATTAAGCTTTTAAGAGATAATGGCAGGAAGCTAATGTACACAACATAGGAGAGGTCTCCCGTCACTGTCTATTGGACTCTGGTCAAATTGGCTTTGATATCCCGCAGTGATTAGGATGGTTGGTGTATCTGGCAAGTGCAATCCCTCTTTCCTTCGCAAGAGCCCACTGATCTTTCTTCAACCAGCGTCCTTGCTGGTTAGATGCCATAATAGCAAAGGTGTTCAGGAAAATGGCAAGGGGGCCGCCTAGCCCTGTGGTTGCAATGGTTTGGAATAAATTTTCCATTTTCTTCCTAAAATGGCACTCCTCCTCTCTTTTGTAAAATGACATCTACCTTTGCCCTTCTCAGGGCCTCCCTAGCCCTATGGGCGGGACGCAAACTGGGCTTTGAAAGTTTTCACAGCAGCCTTGCCTGTGGCATGTGGGGTTTTTGTCAAGTCATTTTTTCTTTTTAAGTCTACAAAGGAGTAGCTCATACTGTCCAGAAAACGCTTATCTAGTAAAGATGATTAGGATTTAAGATAGTTAAACATATTGGATTTCAGTTAAAAAGCTTCCTTCTTGGTGAATTTTTGGCTGAGTGTGGATTAATTACCTGAAGACGTGGCTTTCATGTGATTCTAGCAATTATGAATTTTTATTTTTTCATGGAATGGAAAGTTTGCGGGACACCAGGTCCAAGAACTATCAGAAAAAGAAAAATATCCAGTTGTCCTACCATAGACAAAGGTTTAGGAATTTTGTTGCTATCTCTTGTTTCCCCTTAACAATGACCAGATTATTGTGATATTTAATTTCATCCAGGCTCATTCATTTCTATTAAAAAATATATCCTGAACAACTGAAAATTGTTTAATGGAGACAGAGTGCTGGGTCTCCATAGCTTGAGGCTGCCTGGCAATTATGCTGCATGAAATTAGGCACAGTTTGTTCCAATTACTTAAAATCAGATCACATGAAAAGTGACAGAGGGGAAAAACAAAGGTTGAACTTTCTCATTTTATGATATTTAAATTATGAAATCAGAAACTGCATGATGTAAAGAAACAATCTAAATTTGCGCTGACAGTTTGCAGGCCATAGATTTCTTTTTGAAGCGTAATGATTCAGGTGATTTTAAAGATCCAAAGAGAATTTTCCTGACACCCCTTGCATAAATAAAATGTGAATCCCCTTTGCTTTCTAAGAATTTATGTAAAACTTGCTCACAAACAAGCATGCAAAAATACTCTTGAAAACACAGCACAAATAAATGACTGTGACAATTCTCAATTTTCAAAGTAACTAAAGGTAAATGGCATAAATATTAATTTTTATCCAGTTCTGGTCATAATATTAAAACACAACTAACAAGACAGGGCAAAAGGTGTTACCACTCAGCTGTAGTGAAGAGGGACCATTGACATGTTTATTAATTCTTTCGAAAGTCACTGGAAAAAGACCTGGCAAAACTGTATGCGAATTATAGAAGATGTTATAGATTGGAAATTACTTATGTACATCAGTACACAACCCTATATAGTGAATAGTACCAACAGCTAGATGCTAAAATTTGCATATTTCAGTCAGGCTTTTATTACTTAAGAATTGCTAGCCTGGAGAACTCCCAGATGATAAAATCAAGGAAAAGTTGTCTGTTGTTCAAAGTCTCATAGTTAGTGAATAGCAGTGTAATTTATACAATCTAATAGGGTCATATATAACTATGTAGTTTTTCAACTAATACAGATGTGGATCTACTATATGTATATAGAAGTGCTTTGTGCACATATACAGTTGTGTTCGACTCTATGCAGACTGTAGCCCACCAGGCTCCTCTGTCCATGTAATTTCCCAGGCAAAAATACTGGAGTGGGTTGCCATTTCCTACTCCAGGGGATCTTCTTGACCCAGGGATCAAACCCGCGTCTCTTGCATCTCCTGCATTGGCAGGGATTCCCACCTGGGAAGCCCTAGAACGACTATTCACTCTTCAATTCAGAGGATAAGATTCATTTGGCTTGTATTGTGTGGCAAATATTTATGCAATAGGAGTCGTGTTTTAAACCTTGGGGCAGTGAACTGCTTTTAGGTCAGTGTTCAACCATGAGATTTTGCTTGTGATGACTGGCATCCTAGTAAGTAGGGTGATTGTCACCTATGATCTTCACCGATTATGGAGGTGATATACTTTGCTTAGAAAAGAGTGGGTAGCTATCACTTATAGGGATGAAGTAAGAAAAGTAGTGCTGTGGATCTTGGATTGGATTGTTTATACTTCCTATGGGCTTTGAAAAAAATCTTATACATTTTGATGTTGCATTTGAGTGGAGAATATCTGTGTATCATGGCAAGTCAGAGCTTTTCCTTTGTCTCATCAATATTTACTGGTTTCCTTTAGTGAAGGTCTGGGCTTTGAGGATGGTGAATGAGAAAGTCGAGGGTGTTTTAGATGCTAAATGAGTGGGAAAAGACACATGACCAAGGAAAGAAATAATCAGACTGGGTGTTTCTGGGTGTGATACCTGCTTTTATGGGGATAGAGCGGGGAGAATGGTGTGAGAATGATAAGGTGGGCTGGTGGAGAGTGGAGAGGGGAGGGCTTGGCATTTGAGCTGAGACTTGACAATGACATTGGAGTAGGAACTTGTGAGTAGGAACCTACTTGACGTGTTGGAAGAACGGAAGATGACTGAACAGAAAGTGAGGTGGGGTGAGGAGAAGGGGATACCATCTGGGAGATGGGTGGGGCTGGATGGTGGTGAGCCTTGCAGGCAAGGTGAGTGTTCTGGAGGTTCTTGAAGGGGGACAGGAATGGAGATTATGAAAGGCCTTGCCACACCTTTCTGTCATGAAGAGGCTTAGATGCTGGATGGGAAGCAGGAAATATGCCTGGGTCATGTTGCTGCTGATCGTGCCAGCCCCTGGCCAGTGTCCTCACCTGTAAAACAGGAGGGACAATAGATTCCATTTATGTCCCTCAAAGGGATATAATGGGGATTAATTACCACTCTGTCTGTAATATACTCGAAGCTCTTAAGAGAGCAGCACTATATTCCATGAAAGCGAAGCCTTATTCTAATTGTGTATTTATTGATTAAGTGACAATCAACTCACAATGCTTTTGGGAAAAATGGCTACATCTCTGCTCACCATGAACGAATCCCATGTGTATAGATACAGAACATATTTAAACTTACATATAAGAGCATTGAAGTGGTCATTAACGAGACTTCTAAGCATCTAATCGGACATTATTAATAAGATTGAAAGCTGTGTTAATTAACATTCAATAGACCAGAATTTAATTTCCGATGGCACATACAGTAAAATGGAGAGTTGGGGTGCCCTTTTCCATTCATAAAGAGAATAGAAGGTTGACTATCAGGGCAGTTTTTATCTTGGGAGAATTTATTGGGGTGCAGTGTTCAAAAGAGCCAGTGTCTCAAATAGATGGAAATCATGTCCTCAGCTTCTCTCCCAGGCTTTAGAAATGTATATTTCAAACTTAGATATAGTTGACTATTAAATAGAAAGTATCTGTGCCAAAACTAATCTTAGTAGAATTCTAAACATTTTTACAAGAAGTATGGATTTCATTTTATTATCTAATCATGTAATATTTTTTGTCCACTCTTAACTCCTGAGACTTGTTCTTCACACGCAAAATGTTCTGATCTTTGACCTTACTACATTGGCCTGTGTTCAGAATCCTAGAGTATGTTGATGTTCAGATAGGGAACCAACTGGTAGAGTTTCATTTGGTTGTGCTTTACAGAAGAGTTGAAATGAATGGTGTTTTTTGTTTTTTTTTTAATACACCCACTTTAACTTTAATATGGAGAAGACAATGGCAACCCACTCCAGTATTCTTGCCTGGAGAGTCCCATGGACGGAGGAGCCTGGTAGGCTACAGTCCATGGAATCTCGAAGAGTTGGACACGACTGAGCGCCTTCACTTTTACTTTTCATTTTCATGCATTGGAGAAGGAAATGGCAACCCACTCCAGTGGTCTTGCCTGGAGAATCCCAAGGACAGAGGAGCCTGGTGGGCTGCCATCTATGGGGTCGCGCAGAGTCAGACGCGACTGAAGCGACTTAGCAGCAGCAGCAGCAACTTTGATATTTGGTATCCAGCAACATGGTGCTTTTTTTTTTAAGAGGAGAATGTGATGCTAACAAAGTGCTTACTTTCTAGGGGCCTGGGCTGAGCTTGTTGTCAAATGGTCAGCTTTAGAAATCTGTGGTTCTAGAAAAATATTATGTCAAGGTGGTACATTTTTGTATGGTCAAAAAGGATTTGTTATTTTAATCCTATAAAATACAAGGAAGATCCTGTTGAACTTTCTATGTTTGTAACAAATAAACCTGTTAAAGAATAAACTCAGTATCAAGGTTCTGCAAGTATCCTAAGTAGGTATTTATACACTTCAGTAATCTTTGTAATTGGCTTGTCTTTTACTGCCATTAATTAGATGATGTAGTATTCCATTAATAAGAGTGACACACCTCAGCATTTTTACCTTTAATTATAGACCTCAGCAGACATTTAAGTTATTGACAAAATCGCCTCAAATTGCCTGATGTACACTTTTTTTTTTTAACAGAGCATGTGTTTACTATTGAATCCCTTGCACCTAGCATTGCACGTGTTGTGACGTGCACATTGTGTGTTCGGAGCACACAGGTATACACCAATCCTTTCTGTTCTCTTTCAGCACCCTTACCCTTCTGAAGAACAGAAAAAGCAGTTGGCACAAGACACGGGACTCACCATCCTTCAAGTGAACAATTGGTAAGTGATTTGGCTTTGTGTTTGCTCCCCCCTCTGGCAACTGCAGCTCTTGTTTTGCATTAAGAAGACACACCCAGTTTTCCCTAGTGGCTTGTTGATCCAAAGGTGAGAACACAGGGCAACTGATGAGCCAGAGCACTTACTAGATTAGAAAAGAAAACTCCGTATTGTTTTGCACCTCCTTTATAAATTGACAAATTTTAGGCATAGTAAAAGTAAGTGTTTAATTCGTTTAGCTGTGGCTCTGTAAATGTCTCATGGGTTTTTTTTTTTAATCTTTAAGGATGATCAATAGAAAGAGTAATACCCTTGTTTCTATGAAACAAGAAACTTCACTATCACATCTGTTAGATTTTAAATTCGCTGAATAACTAAGCTCACTGAGAATTTGTTAGACTGTGCATTCCAGGATGGACACTCCATCCCTCTTATCTCCCTATGGAAAAAAGAGAAAAAAAAAAACAATGTGTTTCTACTTTGAAGCTATTCAAAACTTGATGTATCTCAGGGCTGTGTAGTATTGTTTCTAAGTAAATGTGTAAATTCCTGATTTGGGAGAGAAGCTGAGATTATATACCAAGGATAGCCAACAATTTTCTGACTTAATGTATAGCAGTGTGGCAAATAGCCTTTGAGGAAGTATGATTTATTATCCTTTGTGAGTGTGCTGAAAGCCAGGTTCATATAATCACCCAGAGCTAGTGTCATATTTGAAGGGTATCGAAATCTGATCTCCTTTAAAACTAAGTGTATCTAATTAATTGTCCCAATATTTTTAGATTAGTGTTTATGATGGGGAAACCTTATCCTCTTTGAAGTAAAATCCAGAAAAGGCCCAAAGCCTGATTGGGGAAAAAGGAGAACTGAGAATGCCAGTCTGCAGACAGAAGTGTTTCTTTCTGTTCAATAAGTGTCAAAGATTAATATTACAGAATCTCTGATTACATGGCCTAATCCATTTTGGTGAATAAATTTGTTCTTGATGTCCATTGCACCTACATTAACAGACTCTTCTCTGTTAGAGAGCCTGGGAGCCTTTGGGAGAGATTTCAGATATATTAAGCCCCATTACAGAAAATGTAATTTCTGTCAATATAATCCCATGTATTCTTCAATTTAGTATTTTAGAGATAACAAGCTACTTACAATATATTTGCCTTTGGAGGATTAATTTACAAAGTGCACTATCTTCAAGACACAGACAGACCCATATAAGCATTGCTTGTAAGGGTTATCAATTTCTATGACCTTATGGCAGCCTTGGGAGATCAATTTTTGCAGCCCTTCTAGTCAAGTGGATCAGGAACCAACAGAAGACATACTATACCTGAGCATGTTACTGGGAGTCTTGTGGCTGCTGTGGGTTTTTTGTTTGCCTCTTTTTACCTGTAGCTTTATCTTACTTTTCAAGATTCTTGATACTTTTATAGTTGAACTCTGTCTTTCAAATTGTTCTGGACAGTGTTATAGGGCAGACTATCCATTTTGCATACGTGCCTAAATTCCTACATATTTTTAAAGTTAAACTGATGGGGAGGCAATTTGAATACAATGGAGGCTGTACAAAGATTTATTTCTCTGGGAAATGATCTCCTTTGAGGGCCAAGGAGTGGCTGGGCCAACTCTCATTAAGGAAGGCAACATGCTGCCCGTTCAGGTGAGCTATCAAACACGCCATCTCTCTTCCTCTTCAGTGTTGCTAGAAAACTCTATCCACAAACATTGTTACCAGAGAACAGATTCCAATACAAGCTGCTTGTTACAGGTAGACAGCCTATGGGATATTTCCTCTGGGTGCTAGGGCAGGCAGACATTCCTGTGGCACGGAGCCAGACATGGTTGTCTTTTCATAGATTCTCTGCACAGTAATCACAGTCAGACTTCCTTGGTTTTACGATTAAGAGGGAAAAATAAGGACTTTAAAAAGTTATCATATGTACCAGATAATAATTTTTCAACTTAGATGCAGACTCTACCCTAAACTTCACTGTGATATTCAATTCTGCACAGGCACATAACTTGAAAATCACTTTTCCTTATAACCTGGGATGTAAATTCAATTCCCTTCTCACTTGGCACCGTACTGTGTGCATGTGCTCTCTGCTTCTGTATGAAGTTAGAAGTGACCACTGCTGGCACTTCATTGCTTCGCATTTGGCAACTGTTGCAAATCTACAATAGCTTTGTGGTGGACGAAGGATCCTCAACCTCTGTTAGGAACCAAACTGCGCAGCAGCAAGTGAGAGATGGGTGAGTGAGCCACGCTGTTCATCTGCATTTACAGCCGCTCCCCATCTCCGCGCGTACCAGCTGAGTTCCACCTCCTGTCATGTCAGCGGAGGCATTAGATTCTCATGGGAGCTCAGACCCGACTCTGCTTGAGTCATCCTGAAACCGCCCCTGCCGACCAATCCGTGGAAGCTTGTCTTCCTCCAAATGGGTCCCTGGTGACCAAAAGACTGAGGGCCGCTGTGGTAGAGAAATTCCCCTCCAGTAGCTGAAAGTTGTAAGAGAAGTTGTTTCTCTTAAATTCGGTGAAAAATGACATCCCCATGTTTGATTTGAGTTTTTAACGGTGTATTACTTTTCATCCAAACCTTCTCCTTTTAAGGAACTGATAACTGATTTCTTTCTCTCTGGACTTTGAGTTGGAAATATGAGGCAAAAATGGGGAAAACCCAGATGGCACTGTATTGAAACCCAAGATGCGAGACAATCTTAAATGATGATGGCAGACTTGAAGATGAAACAGCACAACTACTAAGTGGAGTTCATTTTTCTTGATCGTAATGAAAAAATTATACAAAGTTTTTTTGAGAACCTGTAAATACTTTTCCCGTATTGAACATCAAGCCCACATTACTTCACTCTGGAAATAATAATTAAGAAAAAAAAAACACTTCATAAGTATTTTAGCGTTTCCCCTTCACTTCATTTAGGCACAACATTTAAAATTGTGTGTCTTCCTTTTTGGATTTTTTAAGACTTGTTAACACACATGTACATTTTGTATGAACTATGAGTCACTGTTGAAGAGATTTAATAAAATGCTGAAGGGCAGGTTGGGTGTAGATCAGTCATAATTATTGGCAGCAATATAATGTATTGAAATACACAATATGAATGTGAAAAATATAAACTCATGTCGAGTTGTTAGCTTGTCATAGAAACCCCGGCTGATGCAGCTTGAAGTTAGATTTTGACAGAAAAATGAGATGAGAAAAGTCTGATGTGTTGTAATGATGCTTTCATTCCCTCGCTGAACTAATTTTATGCCTTTTTAATTGACATAAGTAATATATACTACCTGCCTTGGCTGACTAAGGACAAAGCAGATGGGATTTGGTGGGGAGAGGGGATCACAGGGAGAATTTAAATGTAAAACAACAAGACAGGTTTGATTCACTAAGAGAAAATTTGAATGAAAAGAAATAACTTTTAACTTGTATGTTTGGTCTATGTATCAGAGTTCAAACAGAGAGGAGAAATCGTAAAATGGTGGGTACTAGCATTTTGTAGGAATTGGGCTCTGGGATGGAATGTGACATTTATCAGATGAGACATTGTAGCAAAAATCTATGCCAAGACATTTTTTGAGAATTGAGGCAATTATGCAAATAATTTGGGTAAAAATATTTTACCTAAATTATCCAACTATTTGAGGTAACCGCATGTTTTTTTAAAAAAATCAACCTCCATAGCGAATTGCCTAAATATTTCTATCTGTTAGCATGCTTTGGTAGACTTTGACTTAAAGCATAATAATTTTTAAAATATATTAATAATGTGTGCTATAAATGTATGTATCTTCTTCCTTTGCTTTCTCACTCCCAATTATGTTTTGAGCCAAAAATGATAAATAATAGCATTTGATGCCTTTGTCTTTTTGTTTTTTCATTTTTGTTGTGGTTGCAATAAATACTTCAGTTATAGTAGCAAAACTATTACTGATATGTTGACTGTCATTTAAGTGGAACTTCTTAAATTTTTAGATTAGGTGATTATGTAGACCTTTTCATATGAAGGTAGAACTTTGAAGAAAATAAACACATATATGCACAATGTCAATACTAGGTTTTTCTCTCTCCTGAATACACCAGCTTTACCCTTTCATATTGAAAATATGAGTGTAGAATGGTCAAATAAAGGCTCCCTTATATGTTTTCACAGTCATGTTGCAGACTTGGGAATTCCATATGATGAAAACTTGTGCCTGCAATTCTGTCTTACTTGCTGCATGCCTTAGATGCCTCCTGCCTAAGCAGAGTTCTAGCCTAGAATGTACTGAATAAATGTTACATTGTCTTTGTTTACCCCTTCTCATCTGCACACTTTCCCATTCAGTTCATTTCAGTTCAGTCGCTCAGTCGTGTCCGACTCTTTGTGACCCCATGAACCGCAGACGCCCTGCCTCCCTGTCTATCACCAACTAACCCATGTCCACCCTAACCCATGTCCATTGAGTCGGTGATGTCATCCAACCATCTCATCCTCTGTTGTCCCCTTCTCCTGCCCCCAAATCCCTCCCAGCATCAGGGTCTTTTCCAATGAGTCAACTCTTCGCATCAGGTGGTCAAAGTATTGGAGTTTCAACTTCAACATCAGTCCTTCCAATGAACACCCAGGACTGATCTCCTTTAGGATGGACTGGTTGGATCTCCTTGCAGCCCAAGGGACTCTCAAGAGTCTTCTCCAACACCACAGTTCAAAAGCATCAATTCTTTGGTGCTCAGCTTTCTTTATAGTCCATAAGGGACTCTCAAGAGTCTTCTCCAATACCATAGTTCAGAAGCGTCAATTCTTCTGCGCTCAGTTTTCTTTATGATCCAACTCTCACATCCATACATGACCACTGGAAAAACCATAGCCTTGACTAGACAGACCGTTTGTTGACAAAGTAATGTGTCTGCTTTTTAATATGCTGTCTAGGTTGGTCATAACTTTCCTTCCAAGAAGTAAGTGTCTTTTAATTTCATGGCTGCAATCACCATCTGCAGTGA